TTTTATTTTTATGCTGTTTGTATTTCATTTTATGTGCCAGTCATATCACTTTACTTGATCATATTTACCCCCGCGGCCGGTTCGTGAAAATATTGTCTGACATATAGCGGTCCGTGGTGCAAAAAAGGTTGGGGACCGCTGCACTATACAATACACCTGCCCTATACTGTTAGAAGTCACACATCAAGTATTTTTAACTCAAAATTCTAGTTGAAGTTTATCCATAACCAAGTTTTAAGTCTTTTGATATACTTCCAAGTCTAAAACACTCACAGCTCCAGTATGAGTACTTTCTATGTAAGCTGTTATATCTTTAACACATAACATTTTTAAAATAAGTCACTCTCATCTGTGTGTCCTTGCTCTGCTGTGGCTGTTCATCCATAGCTTGCACACACATGAAGAAGTAAGCCAGCACGCCTGTCTGCATCTCAGCCCACAGAGAGAAAGCTTGTGGTCTAGCAGGGTATTATCTTACTGTCTGGGAGAAGGAGGTATGTAGTGGGCAATGACTCACTAAGTCAGATCTATAGCTCCTTTGTGTAGTCCTAAGTTTTCCAAAGATAGGAGAGTCGAGCTTAACTGAAAGTGAGGCACTCCGCTCTCCTCTGCAGGCTCGAACAGCTCAGTGATGTTTACTTAAGTAAACACAGCGCTTTGGGTACATCAAAGGAATTTTTATCAATCTATATCTGACTCTGTTGTTTCTGTTACAATTTTAAAGCCAGTGTAAATAAAAAACACCTTTACCTGTACCATAGGCTTTCAGTTTGGCCTGGCATGCTGAAGCGATTCCTGTAGTTTGAAAAGTTGCTGAAAAAAAAGAAGAAAAAAAAAAGGAGAGAAATACAATTAAATGAACTGCTCAAACAATCTGCATTCCCTAAACATGCAACAAACAGCAATTAGCACTGAAGCATGTAGCGCATTCAAACAAAATCTAAAAAAGACCTTTGTGAGATGTTCATGCAAAATACAAATGTTTGGTTTTTACTTTTGTTATGAATGCAGGAGCAAGTATTCTCTTGGAGACTTGTTCAGGTCAGGTACTAAATTATAACTGTTTTATTTTTATTCTACAAAGATTACAAGGCACCATCATCCACATCAGCTGCTGGAGAGCTGACTGGGTCAATCAAGTAATAAAGGCAACTGGAGAGTGTAGCAAGTCAGAAGCAAGGAAATGGTATGAAATATAAATCAGACTTCAATGCAGTAAAACAGCAATGTGAACAGAAGTCTCTGTATACAGAGGGGTCCCCTCTTAATTATATAGTACAAAAGGAAAGGTTCATCATGTGCCAGTAAATATTCACTATTATATTACTTCATTTCTATCTGGGCATTCATTATGGCGGTGAATTTTTTAATGATTCTGCTACTGAATAAATACAGAAATCTCCAGACATCTGACTTAAGTCATAAAAAAACAAATTTGTTAGAAAAAATAAAAAACAAATAACTCCTTTATGAATTTGACTTAACCATCAAAATACTCCAAAATGACTCCTGGACATGATCCTGAAGACATATCACAAGTTTATATCACCCTCTAGTGGTTGAGAGAACATCTACAGACACTAAGCAAGCATTTTCCAGGGAGGAAAAATAAGTTTTCATACATCAAATTGATCTCTGTTTAAAATACTAAGCGTGCAGTCATGTGGGAGTTAGTGGCTACAGGAAAGACTGAGGTAACAAGTGATAATATTAACAACGATCCATATTTGTTTTACTGTGAATATTCCATATGATCTAGGCTCAAAATTCTATCCTGATTTTTTTTTTTTAGTTCATTTTACAGAAAGAGGCAAGAGTATAATGCTAAATATATATATTATCTCCCTATGGCACATATTTCAATAGTACACATGATTTTGCAATGAATAGCAAATGTAGGTTATGGATAAAGACAGAATGTGAAAATGTCACTACTTATTTTGTCATAATAATCTATACTGGAGAACTATCAAGCAGTGACATTTGTCAGGCTTGTCCAGAATGTTTGAAGATATTAAAACCTGCATCACAGCAGCGAAAATCTGCTTAAATATAACGTATGCCCTCTTAGGGATTTGTATGAAACCTACCCTCATCAGATATTTTAAAAAAAATTACATTCACAGACCAGAATGAAAGGAAGAAAGCAATGAAAGACTTTAATAATTGCTTTCAAACAGTAACTGTTTTAATATTCTTTAAAGGACTGATGTACCACCTTCTGTGCTCAGGGAATGAAGACATTTTTGATTGGGAAAATGATCATCTTTATGAGGATCAGCCGTTCTCATCTTTCTGGAAACTTCACTTGAGAAAAAACAAATCTTGCCGCCATCCAGTTTCACTCACTATTTACCCATTAGGTTTTGAGGTTGGAAACAGGAACAGAAAGGTATGGGTTGAGAGGGCAAAACAAAAAGCGAGGCTTAAAATCAGTCACAAGCTTCGGGGCATAGTTGGACTCAGAACCAACACCACAGAACAGAACAGACATTTAGGCATTATTAAGGGCAAGAGAAGCTGGATTTACTGGTTACGTAATGGAGTCAAATGATTCCTGATATCAGGTTCTGATGTCTGCAAGCAGAGCCAAGAAAAAGAGACTACTGTTTGCAGCTCTGTAATAAAGTCCAGACACATTACTTATGGTAAGGCTGAAAAAGGAACCATCCCACTATAGAAGCGGCAAAGCAATATTATGGTTCAGGATCCGATAACATTAAGTGTTTCAGTATGTAAGAGGCACTCTGCAAACTGGACAGAAATAAGGGGAACTTTAAATCACCTCAAATCAAATTTAAACATGCATTTAATCGTGCATTGAAGAATTTATAATAGATTAAGCTTTACTTATATCAACACATTTTTCTTATAGCACTGTCTAACTTTCCCCTTCCTATATTCTGGTGTTTTCTTAAAATAATGCCTTGAAAATGTTAGCCTAGTTATTGATTTTTGAACGTTGTCACTTCCATAAAATAATATGTATTTTTACCTGATTTTGTGTGATAGACCAACAAGAAAATAATGTATAATTGTAGAGTTAAAGAAATAGGAGATACATATAATAAAAAATTATAAGCAAATAGAAATCAGAAAAGGTGAGCATGCCTTTGCTATTTATATGAAACCCAAAAATAAACTTAAGTTTAATAAATTTAATTTAAAGTGAAAACATAAAAAATAAATAAAAAAATAAATTCCACCCGTGTGTAAAAATGTAAGTATGAGTACATGTCAGGTTGGTGGAAATATAGTTGAAAATAGGTGGGCTGGCTAATATTAACACCCTTCCAGTGCTGACATCTTGATAGGAGGAAGACCAAAACCGTGCTTTTTGAGAGTGCACTCTTCTGAACTTTTCTGGTTTGCACAATCAGTCCACAAAAAAACAAGCCACTTTCAGGCCAAATTTTCTGTCAGGTTATGATAGAAGCCCAACATCGTGACACATCTTAACATGAGAAAGTCAGATTTAAGGGTAATGACCCTTTAACGTCTCACAGGGCGCCCCATCATCTAAAAATTGGCAAATAGGGAACCAAACATACTAAAACATGGATGTCCACCTAAACTAACAGAATGGGAAGGGAGAGCATTAATCAGTTAAGTAGTCTACAGGAAAATGGTAACTCTGGAGGAGCTGCAGAGATTCTGTTAACAGGTTAAATATTAGCTGTGCAATCCAAAAATCTGTCTTTACAGGGTCAGGATCAGGAAATTGGGAATTGTTGAAATTAAGCTATTGTGTGTATTTTCACACAAACCACACAGGAGATGTTGTAGAAATGTTGAAAAAGCTGAGCAATAGCAATTAACACAGACCTTTCTGAAATCATCATGCCTTCAGTATGAAGAAAGAAAGCTTGTCAGAGTTGATAGGGAGACGGATGGAGATAAATACACAGCAATTGTAGAAAACCTGTAAAGGCTACAAAACTTGAGACAGAGGGAGAGGTCCCCCTTCTAGCATGACAACATCAGACATGCAAGCAGAACTACATTAGAATTTTTTAAATGTGGGATTCTTTATGTCAGAGAAGGGATTTTATTTGAAAGTGGAACCAATTAAAAGTCTATGGATATTGCAATTATCACAGCAAATATGGCAATACACTAGTATTTAATCTTAAAGGAATGCACCACATCTAGATACGAAGTCATTGAAAAATTATCAGATCACTTTTGTCCAGTGGTGTCAAAAGTACACACATTTGTTACTTAAGCAGAAGTATAGATATTGCAGTTTAAAAACACTCTGGTAAAAGTTGAAGTATCAACTTGACCTCTTTACTCAAGTAAAAGTGAAAAAGTATGTGCTCCAAAAACTACTTAAAGTATTAAAGTATAAAGTAACCTTTAAAAAAAACAGCCACATGCCACTATATGAATTAAAAGCTAAATATTTTGACTATGAGGGAGGTCTTGTTGGTCTCCGTCTCCCGATATGCTCTCGCCTGTGTCCGACCTTTCAGACATTTCAACGTCTTTTTCTGAATCCGCCATTGTAGCATGGCATAGACAATTCACGTTTGCAGTTTGAAGAACACCTGCTTGCTTCTGATGATTTCCTTAAGCCAAACAAAGAGTGTTTGCGTTATATGACTCATCCAATTACACTAGTTTTTACTAGCTGAGGATGGCACCAATGATCTGCATTGGAAGGCACACATGACGTGTAATAAATATTCATAAACATTAAACCGAAGCCAAAATGTAAGGAATAGAAAGTAGAGATACTTGTGTAAAAATGTAATGAGTAGAAGTCAGAAGTAGGAAGAAAAATAAGTAATGGAGTAAAGTATAGATACCTAAAAAGTGTACTTAAGTACAATAACAAAGTATTTGTACTTCGTTACTTGACACCTCTGCTCTTCTCTCTTTTATTGTGTCATATTCAGTATCAGTTACTAGGTCTAATTAAAAGGTTTAAAGCAGCAAATTATCTAATCAGAGCAGCAAAGGATTATATAGAGTTATAGTTATATAGAATTCGTTATACCTGTGGAACTGAAAGTGCAAAATGTACACAGCTTCGACATCACAGAATAACTCTGGAAAGTTCAAAACAGATAGTGAGCTTAGAATTAATCCAAGCTAGATAAATGTTTTATTGGACTGTGATGCCTTGTTTTGATGTTGCTGGTTGCTGCTCTGGCTCCCATTATAAGAACTGAAAATAGCCCCCTCGTCTGTTAAATAAGTTAAGTCAAGAGCTCTCATCACAAAGCTTTTGTGTTGTATCTGTGGGCGACGATGGGGCCAACTTAAAATGAAAGGCAAAATGTACTCAGGGTTTTAACCAAAACCACTGAATTATGACCTTGTGGCCCAAAATATGGAGAAAAACTGAGTGAAAACAAAAAGGAGTGACGTCAGGAAACTGGCCAGGATGAGACTCCAATGGTTAAAATAACCATGTGGGTCATGCAAACAATGAACACATAGATCTTAGATAATGAAAAATTTGAATAAAATCTGAGAAATTAGATTGTCTGCAAAGCACAATCTATGCTTTGCAGCTCTATCTTATTCAGACACATTACTTCTGTGTCTTTTCATTAAGATTAAAAGAGAACCAATTATGTAACCAATTTGATGTTTGTTGGAATGGTCATCTTCAAAGCAGTAAAAAAGTAGTTTAGCAAGTATCACTGTTTGGAAATTAATAGTGAGGCATCCTGCAACACAGATGTGTCAAGCTCATAGAGCAAATCCTTGTGTTGGTGCCCAAATTGTTTCAAAAAAGTCTGATGACCAATAAAGGAGCCATTTCTAACTGGCTCATGCACTAAACTGTGTTTATAAGCATATCTATCATTGGGATGCATCTGGAAAAAGAATCTATAATCTTTTGCAGTTCATCATCAAATTTATCAATAAATATGGAGCAGTGTGGGACCATTTTGATCTCATATTTGTTTTAATTTTCTTATTGTTTCATCTTGTTCCTTGTTTCAATTTCCATTAAGTTCAAATTGACTTTTAGCTTACTGTTCTCACTGTAGTTGTTGTTTAAATAAATAGATAAATAATTTAATAAAATTCTAGTCCACCAGCATCAACAATAACATTTTTACTTAAATGTTCCTGTTATGATATATGTTTAAATTATTTATAGATTGCATCTAAAAATATTAAAGATATTTTCAATTTAAACAAAGATATGAAATAATACAATATAACATACAATGACTTAAATCATATTCTAGGTCATCAAACCAGTTTAAGTTGTCTGTCAAAAATGCTGCCTGTAGGAATTTTAAATGTCCAGCAGATGTCAGTATTCAGGGAAACAGTAATGACATAGTATCAGCACTTTTAGAAATGAAGTCATTATTAACTCAACATTTAAGGACACTACT